AGATCATTTTTAAAAATAGAATGGAAGCCTCTTTGTTTTAAAGTTATATTTAAAGTTGAAACCAGTCCTCCAGGATACTGAGAAGGGGGGGTGATGGTGTTAAGCTCATCTTATTTTTAATTTAAAAGTAGTTATCTTCCAAATGGATTCAACTGCAGCTCCCATGACACCAAGACAAAGATGTGATGAATTGCTTTTTTTTTTTTTAAAAAAAAAGTGCTTAGAAACTTTAGTTGGTCCAAAGAGCAGTAGCCAGGTAATTATTACCTGGCACTGGCTACAAGGGAGCACACAGCTCCCCTATTGCAACACCTCCACTGGCTGCCAACCTGTTTCCGGGCACAATTCAAAATGCTGTTGTTTTGTTTTCATTTTTAAGAGCATTCTTTAATAGGAGATATGTACAAAACAGATGGGGTTTCATTCTACAAGGAACTGGACAGAATCAAGGAATTAAAGAAAAGCATCCCCTCTGTTTGTTTTTATGTTTACTGCCTTTGCTCTTCCATTCTCTTCTAAACGGTAGCCTTAGGACCAAACTGTTTTGCCAGACAAATACAAAAGGCTCCCACAGTGAGTAAGTGAAAAGACTGGGCATACAAACAAGGCTATTGCTATGTTCAAAGCACAGGGGATTACTTCAACATAACATAAAATACAGTCCTGAATAAACTACGTTTCAAGCAATTTCAGCTTTAAGATAACATCATTAAGAGCAGAACAGATGCTGGTTTTGATCGATAAAGTCATATATGGCTTGGGCCCAGGCTATTTAAAGGACCGTATCTCTCATTATGAACCTGTTAGAACACTAAGATCATCTGGGGAGGGCTTTCTCTCTGTCCCACCATCAACCCAAATCAGGAACAAAAGAGGACGCCTTTTGGGTGGGTGCTGAGTCCCTTCAGGGAAATAGAGCGGAATAAGAATATATTATTATTATTATTATTATTATTATTATTATTATTAGAAACACAACAAAATGAGTCCACAGCAGACACTCTGCTGGCTGTTGTATTGGATCACACGTCGGACACTTCCCAAGTGTCTAGGACTGTGTGATGTATCAGCGAATAATGTGTGCAGATCCCAGTAAGGTGGCCTTCTGCAGCTGGCATGTGGTAATTTTGTCAGCGCCGATTGTGTTTAAGTGCAGACCAAGGTCTTTAGGCACTGCACCCATTGTGCCATTCACCACTGGGACCACCTTGACTGGCTTTTAATAATAATCTATATAAATAAAAATGTAATGTTCGTTTGTGGGATTAACATAACTCAAAAACCACTGGATGAATTTCTGCCAAATTTGGCCACAAGACACCGACTAATCCAAGGAGCGGGGGAGTTGGGAGATTGATTTTGTCATTTGGGAGTTGTAGTTGCTGGGATTTATAGTTCAACTACAATCAAAGAGCATTCTGAACTCCACCAATGATGGAATTGAACCAAACTTGGCACACAGAACTCCCATGACCAATAGAAAATACTGGAAGGGTTTGGTGGGCATTGACCTTGAGTTTTGGAGTTAAAGTTTACCTACACCCAGAGAGGACTGTGGACTCAAACAATGAAGAATCTAGACAAAGATTGGCAAAAAATACTCCATATGCCCAAATATGAACACAGATGGAGTTTGGGGGAAATAGATCTTGACATTTGGGAGTTGTAGTTACTGGGGTTTATAGTTCACCCACAATCAAAGAACATTCTGAACCCCACCAATGATAGAATTGGACCAAACATTCCACACAGAACCCCCATGACCAGCACAAAATACTGTGTTTTCCGGTGGTCTCTGACAACCCTTCTGACACACATCCTGCAACACCCCCCGGGGTCCTGACCACCAGCATGAGAAATGCTGCCTTAAGGCCAACCAGTCCAACTCCCTTCACCAGGGCAAGAAAACATAACCCAAGCCCTCTTTTACTTTTCCAAATCACCAGACTGGTCCACAGTAATGCGTGGCAGGGGACAGATAATAATAATAATAATAATAATAATAATAATAATAATAGTAATAATAATAATAATAATAATAATAATAATACCATCCTTCCAGACTTTGGAACTCTTTCCCTAAATAAACCGGGATGATCCCATCCCTGCTTGCCTTTCATAGGAAGATAAAGATGTTAATGTAGATAAAGATTAAGATGCTGGTATAAGTGGTATTTGGTGGTGGTGGTGAGGGAGGGTTGAAGTTTTTAACTGTAATTGGGAGTGGCTGTCAAAATGGCAGCACTACCCAGTATGTAATTTACTTTTGCCTTCTAGTATATCCATTGCTATTGCATTATATTCTATTCATGGATCACAGTAAGGTGCTTATTACTCAGTCTCATTGAACATGGTCTCGATTGTATGCCATAGAATTCCACTGGAGCAATGCTTAGAGAAGTTTTCTTTCTCCAGTGCATTTTATTGGAATCTCCAGACTGGAGATTCCAATAAAAGTTGACCCTAGAATCACAAAGATAGTCTAAAGATAATATTTATCTAGGCTCCACTTGGTTGGCTTATGTGATTATATAATATGCTTTCACTAGAAATCCAGCAAGAAAAATAGATTTTTAGAATATATGTGATAATTGTAGCATACAAAGGGTCATGGAACTATCCCTCACATAATACACGGTTCTACTGTAGCTTGTTTGGGGAAATTATACTTTTGTCTGTTTCTCTAAAGATCAACGGTTTCTCTTCTATGGAATACTTTTTATGGTGTGTTATGTGATCCAATGTGTTATCTGCCCTTTACAACTGAGATTCTCTCTTTTATCTTGCACACAGTTTCTCAAGAAACTTACTTCATAACTTTGCTGTCAATGAAATGTGAGATGGAGCAGAAAAAAAGTTTAGGAGAATTATTTTGGAGCGCAGTTACTTTTCTTTTAACTACACCACACTGCTTTCTGAGAATCAGATGGTTTATGACTTACTGCACCTGTAAAAGAAACTGTTTTGTAAGAATGCCAACAGTCTAGAAATTCTACAATATTCTTGAAAAATGGAAGGGCCTGAATCCAATATGTAGTTTTGTCCATTTGGAATTATATTCAGCACAGAAATATTATACACATACAAACCCCACGAAATTAATATCTGTAGGAGTCAAAGGTTATCAGATGTACAATAAATGAACACAATGAATCTTCAAAACATCCCATTTTCAGCCATACCTTATATTAGATGTTTAAAACAAAAGGGAGCTCTGTTTAGAGTGACTGAAATTATGGTTTAATTAGAAAATGCAGTGAATTTTAATAGGCTGTATCTTTCCATATTTATTTTATGGTCCTTGATTCATCTGCACCTGACAAGATTTTCATGTATTATTTCATTCAAGTTTTAAAGCATACAATTTTGAGTTTATTTAACCAATTGAACTAGCCCAGTTCTTAAAACTTTAAATAACCACCAGGGCTTAAGCCTGCTTTTAAATAAAATGTCAAGATAAATCTCCCAGCTTCTCTTGAATATGTGATAGTGTGGTCAAGAAATGGGGCAGTGTACAAGGTTTGTCCCAGTTTTGTTTTCCAAATCTTATTTAAAGCCATACATTGTACTTCTTAAGTTTCTAAAGCAGTGCTTGCACAACTGGGGGCTCATCTACAATCATGCTGGATCTTGGGCCATTGTTCAGGTGGCCATTGTCCACGCTCCTCCATGTCACCACTGCACCCAGCTGACCATTGAACATCATCTGAGTTCCTGGAAATGCAGATGGCTCTGTAGACATCTGAATGGGGTGACCGCATTAACAGCAAGAAGGAGGGAGTCAATTTCCCCTCCTTCTTCATGGTCACCTGGGTGCCTCATTCTGATATCAGCAGAGACTGAGGCCATGACCAGACACTTGCATGAAGTTCCATGGCCAGCAAAGCGGGATGATGACATGGACACAATTCTTTCCCTTTCCCTGTGATGAAGAGAACAAGGAATGGGTAATTTAGACAGTGTCAATCTGGACAGTTGATTCGGCTCAATAGGACCCGATTCTGCTGCCCATACTTCTCTGAAGCCCTGAACTACTCCAGAGTTTCAAGCAAACTTTGTGGTATCCCCTGACTTTGCCAAAGATGGGTCAAAAATGGTTTAAGGCACAAAAAAAACCTCTAGGACACCCAGTTTTCCATTCACAGTATGAGTTTTCAGATTAATGTCATTAGAGGAGGAGAAGTGGTTCTGTCATGTTGTACTACACATGTAGTACAACATGACAGATTTATGGTAATTTGTAGCCACTTGGTGAGTCTACTCCTAGGACCTCATCACATGGGCTTTAAACCCTGTCCTAGTATGTTGTTTAGATGCAAGTAGGATGGAGCCTGCCGGAGCACATCACAGTGCTACTTCCGGAGGGGCTCCGTGTTGGCTCCTTGTATGCTGCATCTCAGCAGCATGCTAAGTGGCAGTCCTGATAACATGGGTGATTACCTGTGTTCTCATTGACTAAGCCACGGACAACACAGGATCAAGCTGAGGGTAGATGAGTTTCTCCATGGGATGGTAAGGGAGCAATGTGGGGTATTGTCTGATGATTCATCCCACTGCCCAAAGTTTTGCCCTGCTGCCCCACAGATTCACCTTACTACCAGACGGATGCCCCTGTTATCCTCCAGCTTAAGGACCTTCATGTGATGAAGTCCATAGTATCCTAAACAAAACTCTTTTTGAAGATGAGTTGATGCAAGAGAGAAAGGAGGTCTTGGAAACTGAGCAGATATAATTTGTATATTAGAACAATTCTGTTTATTTGCTTTCCATTAAACCATATGAATAGTGACTGGAAACCTGTTCATATTTATCCTGGAATAGGCTGTGTGAAACTCAAACTCTTGTGAGTCAGAAGACATAGATAGGATTTTACTGTTAAAGAAGGGACATTTTTGTGGTGTTGCTTGCTTAAATCAATTCTTTAAACTCTTTTTAAAAAGGAGAAACATTTTACTATTGGTTCAACAACAAATGTTTTTTTTAATACTTCCTTCCTACAGCTGGACCTTTGGAGCTTCCCCTTTTTGAACTGATACCATCACAGAGGCAGGTGGTTTTTCAGGGTGACCGCTTGCCATTTCAATGTACAGCAACTTACCTCGATAATACTACACAAGTGCATTGGTACCATGATGGCCAACTTATAGAAACAGATGATGATAGAAGCATGTTTGTGGAGGACAGCATAATCCATGACTGCTGCTTAATTACACGGTAATGTATTTATATTTTTGTTACACTGTAGAGTGGTGAGGGTGTGTTGTTTGTGATGTATCTACTTTTGGTAGTGAACCACTAAGGGTTCCACCTCTCAATACCAGCATTACTTATAGACAATTACTGTTGAAGAAAACATATGTGAGATGCTGATACTTCAAGTCCAAGCCATAGCTAGACAAATTCTAATTTGTTCCATTCACTCGGTGAAATTGAGTATTGGTGCCATCTGCAAGGTAATGTTAATTTTTTGGCTTAATTAGGAAATAAGTTGCTCTCCTTCTGGAGTTATGATTTGACAATAATCTCACAATTGCTAATATTTGGTTAAGAGCAACTCATGGTGCAGCTACACCACAGAATAAATGCAATTTGACACCGCTTTAACTGGCATAGTTCAATGCTATTTAATCCTGGGATTTGTGATATGTACTTTGCAAGAAAAGAAACTCAGTCACCCACAGGTATGTCTGTGTTTTAGACATTTTTAATTTTATCGATCGATGATGTTTATGTCGTATTCAGTAAAATTGTGTATTGTTTTGATGATAGGTAATTCTATTTTATGTATGGCACCTTGAGTACTTTGTTAGGCGCCATTCAGGGAGATGTTGTCTTATTGATAATGTTGTATGTTATTTTATTTTAATCGCTTGTATTGTTGTGATTATTGCTTGTATTGTTGTGTTGGGCTCGGCCTCATGTAAGCCGCACCAAGTCCCTTGGTGAGATGGTAGCGGCGTACAAATAAAGTGTTGTTGTTATTATTGTTGTTATGTTGGCGGGGTACAAATAAAATTTATTTTCATGTATTTAAAAGCTAAAGCCCTTGTAAAACTACAGTTGCCATGATTCTATAGAATTGAGCTATGGTAGCTAAAGTGTTATAAAATTGCATTAATTCTACAATGTACATACACCCGCAGTGTAGCAAGTAGCCTGTTAAGATTTGCTCATACCTGTCTTGTGAGAACTCACTCCTTTTTAGTTTTTCCATCCAAATTGTTCAAAAAAATGAATTTGCAAAATTAATGGATCATGCACTTCTGAAACTAAGTGCATATGCACACACAGCACAAGTATAACACAACAAACTGATAGATTACAAAGACACACAATCCATCCAACACTACTCTTCTTATTGGCCCTTACAACCTGGCAACAATGATCACATATTTAGACTTTGAACATTTTACTGACGTGTGCAAAAATTATCTTAAAATGTAGAAAATCTTTCCAAGACTGACAAAATCTCACAGTGCTTCAGCGAGGAAGCACTTTTATTGTTTACTCCTTTAAAATTATAAGGAGCAGCCCAGCCAAGATTTACATTCCTATATCCTGAGGGTCACATTCGACCACTGGCTGCTGATTTAATGGAATTATCTGTTTGAACAATAACAGAAAGATGTTTGACCCACATCCATGTTCTTAAAAGAAATCTGGTGGGTGATGAGATCTGTAGAACATTCTGTTCATTTGCTAATAAACATTGGTACAGCACTCTGATGCTACATGTCTACCGAAATCTTTCCTGTTAAATACAATAAACTAGTGATGAAGATTCCCACTGTTTCTATGGCAGCATTTGTAAGAGTCTAAATCATATTTATGGATTGTTTGTTTCTACTGATGAAACATTTGTCATATGTTATAGATATGATAATAATTAAACAGCATATGGGCCCATGTGTATCTGTCTGTGCAAGAGCTCTACGATCATGCAACCTAGACACGTGAAACTGGATATTAAGGCAATCATAACATTTTGTATCTTCTGGTTATTTTGATTTTAAAATAGATTAATTATAGTTCATAAAATATGTCTATGGCTTGCAATACCATTTTCAGTCTCCAGGCGCCAGTCTTGGAATGTTTTCTTTTCCACCAGTGGGCTTCTTGGACGCTCCGTGTCCTGCAGATCTCTGCAGGGCCTCCAGTTTTTCAAATTGTTCAAAAATACAGAGAGATGAAGGAAAAAAGATTTAATCACTTGATAAGGAAAGAAAGGAAAGGTGAGTGAACGCTGAGAGAAAGGAATAAAAATTACATCAAGAAAGAAAATGAGAGAAAGGGAAATAGGGAAAGTCCCGAGTATTCTTTGGAACAAAGTGATAGCAAAGCATTTTAGTGATACATACAACCTGGAAAAGCATGCAGCCCAGAAAACTCACAGCAATCCAGTAATTCCGGACATGAATGCCTTCGACAACACATTTTAGTAATCTTTTGTAACAAATGCGGATGGTCTGCTCATGAGTGGCCAAACAACTTTTCCAAAGCCATTGCTTGTCAACAGCAAAGTCTTCAACGTCTATCTATTCCTCATTGAGTGATAGCAGAACGGCCTTGAATGTAATTGAAAGTACATTTTTGAAAATGTGTATTCCAAAATGTTTTTTCCGTTACAATGTAAGTTGGAATTTACTTGATACAAAATACCAGTTGAAAGAAACACTGCATATAATAAAGCAATAGATGTATTATGTGAAGTATAACCTGTATACAGGCTTTCATGATTCCAACAGATCAGTGATTTGGTCCAAACCGACATAAAGTACCAACCATAATGTCTCTCACTCCAAAATTCCTTTTACGGAAACGTCAGGGCAGAATGAAATGTTATTTTTATATATCAGAGTAATAGAACTTGGTAGTACTCTCTTGTAAATACTTGTGTTTGAAAGCACAAGTGTATGATTCTAGTTGATGTTGAAATCAAATTTCTCTCAATACAGTTGAAACATCTTAAAGATTTCAGTTTTCTGTCTCCCTCAAGACTTGATTGCTTCTAGCAGTTTTTAGCTGTTCTATTTCTAGCAGATGCCGTTTCTGATAGGATAAATCTAGGATTGTCAGCTCTCCCTACCAGACTCCTCTTGTTTTATGGCCTATTAAATGAATTTGGGCTTGCTGCTTCATAAATATGCATAAATAACATTGTCATGTTGGATTGTTATTAATATTATGATTGTTATTGTTATCGTCATCCTCCCCAAAATAATTAATGATTCTTTGCAGCATTGTGATTTCTTTTTTTTATTGTTTTGGCAGAATAAGGGAACATTCAGCAATTGAGTTATTTTTTAAAAAAATGTGGCCAATTCAGGGACTGCTAAATAGACTTGTGCACAGATTCATTTTAGCCAGTCCCTTCGGCCATTTCATACCGGTGCTCGAAACGGCAAAGGGACAGCCATCACGGATTCCCATGCGAAAAGGGACTATTTGGCAGCTGATCACAGCTCCTCCTCCCCTATCAGCATCACAATTGAATCTTTTTATTTTCCTGATTTCTTTTATTTAGTGGGACTGATTGGGAGTTGGAGACCTGAGAGACAGTTGGAGACCTGAGAGAGACCTGAGAGACAGTGGGTGGGATGTGCATGCACATTTGGGGGCTTGGAGAGTCCCCATTTTAGCTTCTTTTTCTCCTTCCCCAAGGAGATTGCAGTCACAGGCAGGCAGTAGAGACAGAGGGGATTTTTAAGGTAGTCCAGGGAGGATAGCTCTCCACTGAGCTTCAGGTCATCGCTCTTCCTTCACTTGGGCTTGGAAAGCTGCATGTGGTGCACATGCTTGCCTCTCCTCTAGAGTAGAAATAGCTCTAAGAAGCATTAAACCAGTGGTTCTCAACCTGGGGTCCCCAGATGTTTTTGGCCTACAACTCCCAGAAAGCCCAGCCAGGTTACCAGCTGTTAGGATTTCTGGGAATTGAAGGCCAAAAATATCTGCATTAAACCTAAACCCATTCTCCTCTACATACAGAAGGTAAAGGATCCAGAAAGAGTATTTTAATGAAGGATATGGAAAGGGAGCCTGTGGGGGACCCCCCCCCCCCAATATGGGCTGGATAGGGTGCTTCCTTAACCCCATTACTGACACCCACTCTCCCTTGAAGGGAATAAAGGAAAGGCTTCCAGGGGAAAGAGTAGCCTTGTAAGTTCCCCATTGCTGCCAATGGGCCAAAAAAAAAAATCAGTTTTTTCAGATGTGGAACATTCGGCAGTGCCCATTTTCTGGAGGTGCAAGAAAACGGATATAGGGGGTTTCCGGTATCTGGCAAGCAGAAACACAAAATACACAAGCCTACTGGTAAATGACGGAGCATGGGAGACATTATTTTTTTGCTTGGAAAATTGTATATGCTTTGACTACAATTCTATTTTGTTAAAAGCAGTGCTTGCAAAAGTGGTCAAACAAAATCAGGGAAAAGTTGTTTTTTTTTCTACTCAGTGTTTTCCAGATAAAGTTGGTGTTTTTATTTGAATAAAAATATTTTTGATGCATTGTTTATCATGTTTTATTAAAACATCAGAGCTTTCCCCCTGTGACATCATTAATGTTTACTACCTATGACAGCACTCTGAAATAGTTCCTCATTCGTTAGAATTTTTTAAAAATGAATAACTTGGTTTGGGCAACTATGACTGGTGTTTGGCATGTAATACTTAATGACATCACCAAGCCTTCCTCTTGTGACATCATTAGGATCCATCTCTAGGTTTTGACCTGAGAATTAAAATGCGCCAGAGCAGACAACTCTGCATGAGCTCATGTATCAGTGTGTGGAATTTGAAATGCAACAAACTGATCTTTGTTAATTAAATTAACCGGCACTGTCTGGTTCAGGTGGAAGTCAAGCATATATGCCACATGTTTTCCCGCTTGTGCCTTGGAAATCTATTGGAAGCTTTTAATGTATATTGTAAACATGAAAATACATCAATAAATTATTCTAAAACCAATACTTTGGTTTTAGTGGACATAACCGCAAGGCACAAATGGATTTTATGTCAGCATGTCATAGAATAAACCACCTTATTTGCTGAAGTAGAGAAAACTGTAGGGACTCCAATGAAGTTTTATTACTCCAAAGAAGTACAGTTAATTAAACCTATATTTTTAGTTGTAAAATGATTGTTCAGGTGTTAAAATTGGGGGTGGAGGGTTGATAGTAACCAGACAAAATGAATTCTTCTGCAACTTTATTCACT